AGAACTGCTCTGATGCTGGGGGCTGAGGGGCACAGGCAGTGGGCAGTAACAGAAATCTCTCTAGCAGAGTACTGAAACCAATGTGCATAACATTTAAATGCTTTGTAGCACCATCTTACCAACCACGATTACATTAGAAATCTGACTAGTGTCCAGAAATTATTTATTCTAAAAGAACAAAAATAAAGGCTAGCCCAGGGATGCATGTTTCCCCTGATTTTAACAAACACATAAATCAAATGCTAAAGTATTACTAACACTATGTTCCACTCGTCTCTCTAAAAAACTCTAAAAAGGAAAATATAATACATCTTGAGATACAAGGAGGGGTCGCTATGAGTCGGGTCCAACTCGACGGCAAACAACAACAATAGTTGACTCTCGCTGCAATTTTTAGAAAATTTTAACAATGTAGTACATACTTCAACATTTTATTCATTCAATAATTCAACAACTTATTAAGCTCAATAATCTAACAAAAACCATAGCAGGGGCTGGGGATACTTTTATGAATCAAGCAAGAGTGCATACATTTACCTACACTACATTTAAATATGGAAGGCAGACTATAAATTAAATTTCTATATCACAATGTCAGAGTGGTAAATACTAGAAAGAAACAATTGTGACATGAGTGTACAAATTATGAGTAGGAGTGAAGAGAGGGTTGCTATGAAGTCTGAGAAAATGACAACTGATCAGAAACCTAAAAGAGAGTAAGCCAAGCAAGTATCCTGAAGTGATTGGACAGAGCAACCCTTCAACAAATACTTGTTACAAGTTTGAAAATTCTTATTTCTTATTTTCAACTCTCATCAGCTAAACAGTTTCTTTCTAGATCTTCATCCAGTAGTACCTTTCAGTTTATGAAAATATAGTGACATACAAATTTCTAATGAAATGTTAATTGCTGCTTAACATGGACTCTAATACTAACGTTGTTGTTGTTGTTGTTATGTGCCCTCGAGTTGGACCCGACTCATAGCGACCCCTCCTTGGATTTCTGAGGCAGTATCACTAAGGAAGTAGATTGCCCAACTTTCCTTCCAAGGAGTGGCTGGTGGGTTTGAACCGTCAGCCTTCTGGTTAGCAGTCAAGTACCTTAGGCACTACAATACCAGAGCTCCGTTAGATGTATATATTAATATACAGACACCTTCATAAAATACGACACTGTGATTATGCTATTTTTCTCTCAATCTATTAGCTTTATTTTCACAGTAGATAACTAAATTCCTCAGATTTGTTCAAATCACACCAAATGGCTACACACATGAAACTCTAGTAGACAGTATACAAGACTCTTCAAGTTCCAAAATGAGGTTTCTTTTCCTCAACAGTGAATCAGGCTTAATTAACTAGCAGCTTAAGTTCAGAGCTCTTTTATATCCATCCTGGTTAGGTTAGAATTTCTGTAAAATAACCATTCCTGACTATCATGAGGGGACTTGAGCATAGAGATTAACTGTAACTTGAAGCCATAGTACTCTACCACCACACCCCCACCTCCATAGTCCATTTGCTTTTTCTATAGCCTAAAATGTTCATAGTTAATGCTATCTCCCTTATCAGCTCAAAGTAGAAGAGACAGAAGGAAAATTGTTATTAAAACTATAAGTAAAATCAATGAAAAATGTGCTACAACTTTTCTGGAAACACATTATGTATAAAAATGCACACATTTTTAATTTGTATTATTTCAAACACTGGAGAACACTACAGGAACATCCATGTATTATTACCACTCATACAAAGTGAGTATTTTTAACTCCCTATAGTGAAAAGTCCCTTTTGCATACTTCCTTGATCAAAATACGCTCCTTCCCAATACAATCACCAAATTGAATATGTATACCCTTCCACAGCATGTTTTTATAGATACACTACATGTCTACTGCACCCACACACAACTACACATTTTAAGGTTTTTAAAAGTACATTATATTGTTGTTATATGCCATCAAATCATCTCTGACTCATAACACCAAATGCACAGCAGAATGAAACATTGCCTGGTCCTGTGCCAGCCCATGATCCCTGTTAAGCCTGAGCCAACCATAGCAGCCACTGTGTCAGTCTATCTCATTGAGGGCCTTCCCCTTTTCCACTGACCCTCCACTTTACCAAGCATGACATCCTTCTCCAGGGAATGGTCTCTTCTGACAACATGACCAAAGTAGGTGAGATAAAGTCTGGCCATTCTCATTTCCAAGGAGCATTCTGGCTACACTTCTTCCAGGGCAGATTTGTTCATTCTTCTGGCAATCCATGATACTTTCAGTATTCTCCGCCAACACTGTAACTCAAAAGCATCAACTCTTCTTCGGTCTTCCTTATTCATTGTCCAGCTCTCACATGCACATGAGGTGATTGGAAATACCACGGCTTCTGTCAGGCTCACCTTAGTCTTCAAGAAGACATCTTTGCTCTTCATCACTTGAAAGAAGTCTTTTGCAGCAGATTTGCCCAATGGAATACATCATCTGATGTCTGGACTGGTGCTTCCATTGGTGTTGACTGTAGAACCAAGTAATATGAAGTCTTTGACAACTCCAATCTTTTCCCCATTTATCGTGATGCTGCTATTGGTTCACTTGTGAGGATTTTTGTTTTCTCTATATTGAGGTGTAATAGCCTGCAAACTTCATTAGCAAGTGCTTAAAGTCATCCTCACTTTCAGCAAGGAAAATTGTGTCATCTGAGTATCACAGGTTGTTAATGAGTCTTCCTCCAATCTTGATGTAACATTCTTCTTCGTATAGTCCAGCTTCTCGGATTATTTGCTAACCATACAAATCGAATAAATATTGTAAAAGGATACAACCTTGATGCACTCCCTTCCTGATTTTAAA